GTAGTGTAAGGGCACCGCGAGGAGGTATGACCGTCCAAGCGGCAGCGCAAACACCCACGCCGGCCCAGAATAGACGCGTGCTCCTCAGCGGAAAGGACACCACGAGGAGGGACGAAGCCCTGAGGGAGGTCCTCCTGAGGGACCTCGGGGGGCGACGCGCCAGCGTGACCGGGGCGGCTGTGTGCCCGAGAGAGGGCGGAGAGCGCGAGCTGAAGGCGCTCAGCTGTAAGGAGGGTAGAGTCCTCCAAGTGATAGTGGACGGCCTCGCGGAGATCGAGGTCGTCGCTGTGGTCGCCCTCAGGTGACAGTGAGGCAACAACATCCTGCTCACCATACTCCAGCGCGCTGAAGCGGCACGAGAAGTGGCGGCCCTGCTGCGTGGAACGGCGGGGGCGACCGCGGAAAGGGGAACGGCGCTGGGAAGTGCCGTGAGAGGAGGAGGTGTAGCCCGTGCGCTGGGGCTGGGAGGAGGAGGCGGGGTGAAGACGGCCTCGCATCCGCTGATGGTCCCTGGCGGCCTTGTAAGCCTGTGGGGCCGATGTGAACTCCTACCCCCATAGCTCGGAGCGGTACTCGAGCGGGAGGCTAGCCAAGAAACGATCGATAAGGGCAGCCTCAAGGAGGAACGCCACGTCGCAAACGAGGCGGGCGTCCTGAAAGACCTGGATGTGGCGATCCAAGCCGGTAGCGCCACCAGAGCCGGACCAGCGTGTAGTGACGATACGCTCGAAGGCGTCAGTCACGTCGTATCGGGTTCCGAAGCGATCCTCGAGGAACGCATGGAAATCCACGAAGGTCGGAGTCCGACCCTCACGAAGGGAGTAGGAATAGAAATCCTCCCAGGCCTCGAAAGGACCGCCACGCAGGCGCGTGGAGAGGTGACCCACCCACGTCTCGGGTGTGGCGTCCATGAGCTGGAGTGTGCGGGTGGCAGACTGCAGCCACCGAGACACGCGTATGCCTGTACCGTCATACAAGGCAATGTTTGACAAGCGGATGAGTGGTGCGCCACCGTTTTGGCGGCGAGGGGATCGAGGAGCGGAGGTCTGTGCCACGACTGAGTAAGTCGGCGCAGGTCCTGGAGAAAGGGGCGCAGCTGACTGTGCGCCCGGGCCGCATGGGGGAGCGGCGGTGGCAACAGCGGCAGGCTGCGAGGGTGCTGCGGTAGAAGAGGTCGCAGCAACCGCGAGAGTAGGAAGAAGGTAGGAAAGAGTTGTATAGGGTGCAGGGCGAGGAAAACGAGTCTGCATGGGAGGAAGGGTAGAGGAGGTAGGGGGTGCGCTCGAAGGCGCGGCCACCTGTGAGGGTGGGTGTGGCTGAAGGCGTAAGAGGGCGAGGTCGGCCCGGAGCTGGGCAATCTCGTCCGCGAGACCTCGGACATAGATCGATCGAGGGGTGGCAGGAGGAAGAGCGGAGGGGGTGGACGCACAAGCGGCGCGGGGCATCCCAGAGGGGGGAGAGCCAGGTGGCGCTGCGGTCGTGCGAAGGGGAGGGAGAAGCGGGGCACCCGGAAAAGTTGAGACCATGGTAGCGGGTTGTTGTACCGTGGCCGTAGTGACCGGGATCTGGGCGGGTGCGCCCGTAGACTGAGGGGGGGCCTGGCTCGTGGTGGCCGTCATGCTAGGGGCGTGGACAGTCACCAAGATGGCCGGGTCAGGGGCAGCGGAGGAGGAAGCTCCGTCGTGGCCACCCTGTCGGAGGACGGGGGACCCGGACTGGGAGCCGGGAGATGACGGACACGCAGCGTCCTGGAGTTGCTGCATGTCGGCGGCAAGGGTCGCCACCTGCGCCTGTAAGGGCGTGAGGGTCGCGAGTTGCGCCTGGATAGGCGCAAGGGTCGCGAGTTGCGCTTGGATGGGCGCAAGGAGGGAGGTGAGGAGGGTGTGTAGATCCCCCTGGGGCTGATGGCCTTGGTCTGCCGGCACGGGTGTGGAGCCCGATGCCGTGGTCATCGCCGTGTCGGCGGCGTGTGACGCACCGTCGGCCATGGGGAGATGACGGACCGGACTGGAGGGGGCCAGAAGAGGTCCGCATGAGCGGAGGGCGTAGGGGGAAGTGCACGGTAGAAAGTGGCGAACGGCGCTAGCAAGACTAGCACGGGCGCCGTCAAAGGGGAGGGGTGGTTCGGGTCCAGGGTGCTCGAAGAGGACGGGGAAGTAGGGGGGGTTTGAGGAACCCTAAACCCTACAAAAACCCTAAGAAAACCCTAACCGAGGTTTAAGTGGCTAGGGTAGGGTACCGGTGACCTAATCAAGAAAGTAAAATAGCAAGCATAGGGGGGGGGAGACGGGAGAAAAATAAATAAACAGCGAGATTTCGAGAGAAAATAAAAAAAATAAAAATAATAATAATAATAATAAAAATAATTAAAGAAATAAGTAAAGAGATGTGAAGGGAAACAATATTTATTTTTTTGAAATTTTCGGCAGCATTTCCCTACCCCCCACGGGGTCAAGAATGTGCCAAGGGAAAAGGAGAGACCAAGGTGAGCACACTAGAGATGCCGCAAATAAATAAAAAAAGAAATTTCAAAAAATAAATAAAGAAATAATAMATAAATAAATAAGTAAATAAGTGTGTGAGGAGGTGGGGAGAAATGGGTTATCTGATTTTTCAAAAATTTAGGCGGCATTTCGTTACCCCCATGGGGTTGGAGTGTGCCGAAAAGACTAAGTAAGAGAAAATCAGAAAATTTCGGCAGCACTTCGTTACCCCCACGGAGTCAAAATGTGTGCCGAGAGCAAGAAAGTCTAACACCTAATCAGATTTAGGGTTGCCGCCAAGAATTTTCAGAATAAATAAAAATAAATCAGAAAATAAGAAAAGAGGGTGGGGAAGAAGATGGGAAAACTTAACAACTAATCAGATTTAGGGTTGCCGTAGAGAAAATCAAATTTTCAGAATAAATAGAAAAATAAATGAAATGGATCAGAAAATGAGAAAGAAGGTGGGAGAGAAGATAATTCGGAATTTTTGGAAAAGAAAAGACAAATCAAAAGGGGGATAGGGAAAAAAAAGAAAAACAGAAAAAATCGAAGTGGGGGGAATGGGAATGAAAAAGTGAAGGAGAAGTGAAGGAAATAGGTGGGGGGATGAGGTGGTGGTAGTTGGGGGAGAGGAGGGTTGGGGAAAGGTGGAGAGAGATCAAGAAGGAAGGAGAAAAGAAGGAAAAAAAGGAGAGATGAAGAAAATAGAGTAAAAGAATGGGTGGTGGGAGAAAGGTGGGGTGGGGAAGGTAAGAGGAGGAGAGAAAAGATGCAGTAGAAGGTGGGGGAAAGAGAAGGGGTGAATAAGAGGAGAGAGGAGAAGTAGGGAGAGTGGGTTAGTAGAGGGAGAGGGGAGAAGGGAGTGATACCTGGCCCTTGGTGTCTCCAAAGGCACAAGGTACACCAAGACCAGGAGGGTCTTGGTCTTCACTGCAACAGCCAG